AATGTCCAGGATAGTTTTCCATGGACAAATGTTGTCGCCTGTTGAACGAGGTGACCTTGCTCGGGTCCCAGGTGTACGGTTCCTAAATGGCTGCCATATACACGTCCACTGATAGGAGACGCGGAAGGTATTAAACTGATCAGAAAAATACTAAACACACCACTCCTATCTGGTGGCACATTAGCTTGACCACGCAGTGCCCCAAATTTGAATTAAGAGGACCGACCAAGCATCTTCTTCCATCTCCCTGTTACAGAAATCACTGCCATATCCATACAAATTGTACAGAATGTCCAGGATAGTTTTCCAGGGACAAATGTTGTCGCTTGTTGAACGAGGTGCACCCTGCTCGGGTCCCAGTGTACGGTTCCTAAAATACGCCATATACACGCCCACTGATAGGAGACGCCGGAAGGTATTAAACTGATCAGAACAATACTCAAACACACCCACAAATAAGGTTTCTCCTGTATGGCTCCCTCAAATGCTTATGATTAGAAGCGCCTGAAAAGCATTTCACACTAACAAAATATATTTTTTAACATTCCACTTTGAACTTAAATGACGTTTGGGAAGAGATTAACATAATTAAACACAGGCAGTAAAAATACAGTTTTTAGCCATACCCTGTAACTTTAAAACTACACATCCCATCCTCATAATTACATATTTGGAATCAGCACACTTAAAACATAAACATAACCAAAAATCAGCCAAATACATCCAGGGGTTAAAAAGTTAGCTGGAGGTCTCTTTATGACCGACCGCAAGCACATTTTCCTGCCCAAAACAGTTCCATAGATTTGGCTGTGAGGTCGGTCTATTTCAGGCTGAAAAAACGACAAAGTCCCATCACGAATGGGACTTAGTCTCTGCAGCTGAAATAAGGCTGAAAAAAACGGCTGAAGAAAAGACTAAGTCCCATCGCCGAATGGGACTTAGTCTCTGCAGCTGAAATAAGGCTGAAAAAAACGGCTGAAGAAAAGACTAAGTCCCATCGCCGAATGGGACTTAGTCTCTGCAGCTGAAATAAGGCTGAAAAAACGGCTGAAAAAAAGACTAAGTCCCATCGCTGAATGGGACTTAGTCTCTGCAGCTGAAATAATTTCCCATTTACTGAACCAAGTGGGAAATAGCCAGGCAGGCACAAAGGGTTTGCACCAGGTCTGGGGACACAGGGGACACCGTCTTAAATGGGCCGTGTCCCCAACAAGTCTGGGGACACGCCTTAAAGGGGCAGTGTCCCAATCTTCCTGATGAGTCCCAAAAAAAGGTGTTTAAAGGGCCAGCACCAAATACATAAAGAAACTATAAGCCCCAACATGCCCACCGACAGTCTTAAAGGGCCATACACACCAAATAAAAGTGCATACATTTTCACAATCTCCCAGGGGCCATAGTCATGCGGGAGGAGGCTGGCAAATAGGCTTCTCCACAACCCAGGGAAGCAGGGCAATTTGCCATTTAAAGGGCCCGTTACAAATAGCAGTTTGTAACAAGGTGTCAATCCATATCTGCCAAGTGACCCGATGTAGGGGGACCAGTCCCTATTCTGCTCTGTGTCAGTGTGTATCAGGGAACCTTAGGACAGGTGTCAATCCATATCTGCCAAGTGACCCGATGTAGGGGGAACAGTCCCTATTCTGCTCTGTGTCAGTGTGTATCAGGGATCCTTAGGACAGGTGTCAATCCATATCTGCCAAGTGACCCTATGTAGGGGGACCAGTCTCTATTCTGCTCTGTGTCCGTGTGCATCAGGGGCTCTGAGGACAGGTGTCAATCCATATGTCAAGGTGTCAATATGTCATATGTCAGGTGTCAATCCATATTGATTGTGATTTAGGAATGTTAGGTGATTTCTGCCCTTTATGGATTAAAACCAGACTCTGTATCAACTGTGTAATTTTCCATGGGAGTTTTGCCATGGATCCCCCTCCGGCATGCCACAGTCCAGGTGTTAGTCCCCTTGAAACAACTTTTCCATCCCTATTGTGGCCAGAAAGAGTCCCTGTGTGTTTTAAAATTCGCCTCCCCATTGAAGTCAATGGCGTTTCGGGCGGTTCGCCGGTTCGCGAACATTTGCGGAAGTTCGCGTTCGCCGTTCGCGAACCGAAAATTTCGGGTTCGCGACATCACTAATGTTGAGGTTAGGACTCTATCAAATATTCTGTACTCTGCCCTTGGGTTTTTACGTCCAAGATGCATTATCTTGCACTTATCTTGACCTAACCCATATTCCAGAGTCTCGGTGATATTGGGGACAGTTACTGACACAAGATAATAATTTAATGTTAGAATTGTGAACACTCAGAAAAAATAACACTAAGCACACACCCCTCAGTTTCAGAAACTCTTTCAAGAGTTAGAGCTATAATTGTGATAGGAAAGTTTGTAGTTT